ACGCCGTAACATTAAATGCTTAATCTTCTGCAATGCCGCGCAAAAGAGGTTGAGTTACTCGTGACACTTCTATCAGCTGCCCTATCCACTTCACACGACGATGCAAATTTGGTGATATTAGATGATATTAGAGGATAATTAGATGCCTTTTATGCTCAGTCGCCTTTCAAGCAAGACCCTACAATGTCTTCATACTTGCCTGCACTAGTGATTCTTTGAGGTGCATGGATGTGTGGACCAAAATTGCCGTCAACTGACCGCAACTGCCGCAATTCATCAAGAAACGCCGTCCCAATGAGATCAATTTGAAAGAACGCCGCAGGACGGAAAAGGCAACGTTTCATGAAAACGGCAATGTAACGAAGTTCCAGGTATGTACTGCAGTAATGTTGACTTTCCTAATACTAAATGGCCCGTGAATAATACTAAATCTTTTCAAAAACCAATAATAAATGGCCCTCAAATAATGCTAAATGCTTTCTGGACCTTGATGTTCAGCTGCTTCCAGACCTTGAATCATCCAAGCTGATTCTGAGCTTTCAGCTGATTCCAAAACCTGATTATTTTGTGGTTTCCTTTAGCTGCTGCATTTTCCTTTTTAAATTGCTTCTTTGGGCATTGCCATTTGTAACCTGAAATCAACCCACAAAGACCACCCCCCACGAGCAGCCCAAACCTTCAATTACTCCAGACCTCAAATAATACTAAACAATCCCTGGCTGGTTCTTTTGGCGGTTTCCTTTACAATTCCTTTATTTAGATTTCCTTTTGGTTGAACAGCCTGAGCTTTATTGAAGGCAATCCTTTCTGGATGTCTGATTTGGCTGCTGCATTTTTCTTTTAAAATTGCTTATTTGGGCATTCAATTTGCAACCCACAAACACCACCCCCCACGAGCAGCCCAAACCTTCAATTACTCCAGGCCTCAAATCCGCCGACCCCACACCGTGGGGTGAGGCGTGACTGTTGATGTTAGCCTTAGCCTTAAGCCTTAGCCTTAGCCTTAGACTTATAGCCTTAGCCTTAGACTTAGCCTTAGCCTTGAGCCTTAGCCTTAGACTTATAGCCTTCGCCTTAGCCTCATGACTTAGCCTTGGCCTTAGCCTTAGACTTAGACCTTACCTCCCCTACCCCTCCGGACCCTTGTTGCAGTGACGAAGTCCGCCAAGATTCCTACCAAAGTGCGACGTGATTGCGACGTGATTGCGACCTGGATTGTCCAAGATTCTGCCATCCCAATTGATTTACATCTTGGGGCACCCTCTCCACCCGCGCGGGAAAATAAGCACGGTCCAAAATGGTCCCGGGCTCGAATCCCGGGCTGGTCGTGGCGTGTTCCCGGCCAATGCCCTTGATTTTTCCTAGATTTTGTCATGTTTTCTGTTGGATTTGTGGGATTTTCAAAGGCTTTTCCAGCATGTTTCCTTGTTTTTTCTAGATTTTGTCACGTTTTCCGCTGGATTTCTAGGAATTTCAAGGGATTTTGTGGTATTTCCTCTTGTTTTTGGGTTCCCAGATTTCCTCAAAAAATTGCTAACCTATTGCTAACCTCTTTGATTCCATTGTTGTACTCGTGCCTATACCTTCTTCCTAGGAATGCTCTTGGCATTGTCTAGATTTTGTTACGTTTTCGGCTGGATTTGTATGCTGTTCAAAGGATTTTCTAGCATTTCCTCTTGTTTTTGGGTTCCCCGATTTCCCCAAAAAATTGCTAACCTATTGCTAACCTATTTTATTCTACTTATGCCTATACCCTTGATTTTTCCTAGACTTTGTCACATTTTCTGGTTGATTTGTAAGATTTTCAAAGGCTTTTCCAGCATCTTCGTAGGAATGCCTTTGGCTTTGTCTAGATTTTTACAAACGTAACCCATTCTGTGAAAAACCAATTCCCCTCCCGGGACCCAACCCTGCCACTACATTTTAGCTTGGGGTCGGGCGGCTGCAGGCGGTAGCCTGGTAAATAATACTAAACAATCCCTGTCTGGTTCTTTTCGTGATTTCCTTTCCTTTCATTTTCCTTTCCTTTCCTTTCATTGTCCTTTCAATTTCCTTTGCTTTCCTTTGCTTTCCTTTCATTTTCCTTTCCTTTCCTTTCATTGTCCTTTCAAATTCTGTTCTTTTCCTTTCCTTTCATTTTGCTTTCCTTTCCTTTCATTGTCCTTTCAATTTCCTTTCCTTTCCTTTCCAATTCAAATCAAGATTTTCAAGGATTTTTCTGGATGTCACATTATTTGGGGCCCGCACTTGATCAAGGGGGGGGGTTTATTAATAGGAGGTGGACATTAGATTTGATCTCTGACCTGTCTTTCTTGTTGGGTCCACCACTGGCATCAAGTGGAGCTCAGCAGCCACAAGTGAAAATTGTCAACAGCCAATCAAACCATTATGGCATTTAATGATATTTAATGCAGCCCAAGAACAAACCACTTGAAGGACCAGCTCATGCCTCTTCTTGCTGTGCCATTTGAGGTGCGACCAGATGACGTCAAGGACAAAGCCAACACAAAGTTTTGGTGGTTGTGGGTCGTCGCCGGTTCTTAACAGAAGCTTCACCTCCAGCTGGCGCCACACGTTGACGGTGCACGTTGACGGTGCCGTCGTCGCCGCCGATGGTGAGCCAGGCCCAGGCCCAGGCCCACCCGCCCTGTAAACAGACGTGCCACAAGCGGCCGTCGATTCTCGGCTCCTGGCGGCACCGGCAGCTTCGCACATCTCAGGCATGGCAGTTGTCCTGTCGGTGTCAGGGCGCCACGCTGTTCCTGACCCATCAAGGGTCATGTATGCGAACGCCTGCCCATACATCACGCTGTATACTAGCTGCCGTCTCTGGACTCCGGGGGCAACATTCAGAGCTCCCAGGCTAAACGACGAACACGCCCACAAGCTCCTCCGAGCGCCTCCACATAGACCGATGCGATAGATGCGGAGGTTGAGGATCGGCTGCTGGCGCAACGTATTCGTCAAGCCACACCTTGTACAATCGTCCGTCTGCAGAGGGCTCCTCGCTACGCTCGAGGGAAGAACTTGCCGAGCCGCGTTTTGGAATGGAGGGGCGAAAACAGCTTCGACAGCGTGGCGAACACAGACCTCAGCTGCGGAGCCCAGAAACGGTAAGTCTATAGGGAGCATCACCCTTCTGTTTTTGCGCAGGCCTCAAGGTCTGGTAAGGCAAGCCGAACCAGCCGCTGCTCGGCTCAGCAGTTGAGGAACTAGTTTCCGACACTTATGGAGTGCAGGACCAGTCACAAGAGGCCATCCGCATCCAACTGAATAGTGACTTGCTTCGCTGACTCCTCGTCTCCGCCGCGACTGCACCGCTGTGATCGTCCCGAAAAGGCCAGAGCGGAGCATAATTACGCGCCGCGACACGACCGGTGAAGCGCCCGGAACCGCGCGACACATCGACCAGCGCTGAACATGGGACTTACTCACCGAAAAAAGCACACATGGAACTCCAAAACTACTTGGTTGTGGAGTTGTGGAGGAAAGTGGTCTGAAAACAGATCAATTCCCAGGGTCCATGGGGGTATTCAGCATGGGACATCAGAACCGTCAAACCTGGCGCCTTGGTCCTACTCCGCCTTGGTCTCGTCATAACCCATCATAGCCTTCCGAAGGCCTTCGCAACTCCCTACAAATCGCTCCAAATCAAAGCAGGAAAAGCAACACAGCACGCGGCTGCCTCGTGTTTGGTTGGGCGATGAACAAATCATTTGGCCCGAATAGGGGCTCTATAGTTGGACTCAATCAACGGTCCTATATATTCCTTGACTTCAAGCTTTCAGGGGTCTGTGACTGCAAGCTATCCTTGGATTTGCTGTCCAGGAGCCGTATTCCCCCAAGAAAAATCACCAGAAGCAAAAGCAAAAATGAACACAAATAAAGACCACAATATGAGAATGCACATTCATGCCAAGCTCTAAACCCGCCCAGGTTGCACAGTTCCAGACCGTCCTCGACCTTCGCGTCGGCTCAAGTCTCCTGAACTTGGAACACGCAGAAGCAGAGACATGAGGTCGGGTTGAGCAAACCATCATCATCATCATCATCATCATCATCATCATCATCATCATCATGACCACCAACACCAACACCACCGACACCCGCACCATCAGCAGCAACAAATGCAGCGACGCATCGTTCTTTGTGGAGTTGGACCAAAACACTGGTGGAAAACGTTTGGACCAATCTGGTGACTCGAGGAGTAGGACCTAGATGACCGGAAGTAGACTGCAAGTAGACAGTCACAAATGGACCGTAAAAACAGGAACCACCAGAACCGCAAAGAATCCACACGTAGGTCATCCACACGTGTTGGGCAGTAGGTCATCCTCAGGTCCTCACGCCACCGAGGGGATGGATTCATGTCACCATCCCGGTCACAATGACGCAAGACTGCTTGGATTGCTCATCTGTGTGTGGGTCAGGTCACCCGGGGGTGACACCCGGGGGTGTCCTGGCTTGACCAAAGGAAACAGAATGGACGACCTACAGGTCAACGCTACCTGGTGAGTTCGGGGATGCGGGTGCCATGCCCCACAGCGACAAACTCAGCCCAAGGTTGAACACCCACAGTTTCTGACACCACAAACCAGAAATTGGCCTCTCAAAGCGAATGAGTTCTGAGCGCAAATACTTTCCTGAGCGCCAATGTAGTGTCTAAATATATCGGCGGTTTTTTGGCGGTCTATGGGTGTAGAAGCGGATTGCGGCAGTGCAAATTATACACATGGTTCTATGAATGAAACCGTTAGAGCATGTTAAGAGCACATACACATGATCAGAATATAAATATATTAAATATAGAGAAGATATGAGAAGATCAGTTGTGGTTCTTTGACTTTGGGTTGGGGGCATCTGTGCTCGCCGATCGAACGAACCACCTGATCGCCGGAACTCACGGATCCCAGGCAGCCAGGAGATCTGATCGGAACCAGAGGCCCGTTCTTTTCGGAACGAACGGCGCTTTTGAGTCGTCGTCGTTGCCTGGAACCCACCGGGCCGAACCAACGAACGAACGAACTGAACGAACTTTGCCTGGATTCAGTGCGGGGGTCACTTCGAAGCGAACGAAGCACGGTGCTTTTGTATCCATTCCAGCTTCAGCACTGCACACATCATGAGATTGGCCCCCACAGCATGCATGCATTCCGTGCATCGAAGTGCCAATCACAAGTGATGCTAAACCAACAGCTGATGCCGTGATGCCCATCTCTTGCCCGTGACAGGCGGGCAGCGAGATGAGTTTCTCAATGTTCTCCATGAGTTACAGAAATGGATTGGAACTGGCGCTCACGTCCCTCGAAGGGGGGGCTGATTGGTAGTAAAGTGGTGCTAACTGCTTCAACACATGTCCGTGTCAAAAAGAAACATCCTTGAAGCTGGCTCGAACACGGAAGAAGGCGGCTGGCAAGTCCGTCTTCATCAAATTCAACCTGGGTTCTTGGACAACAGCCCCGCTTGAAGTTCAAGACCTTGCAACAAGTTCAGCGCCTGCGGCAAACGTCTGCCCTTCTCACAGGCATTGATGGCCACACAAAAGCTGATCACATCTTGCTGAACGTTTGCCTCGAGCATCGCCTCAAACAACTTCAATGCTTCCTGCCATTGCCCGCCCTTCTCACAGGCCGTAATTGCCGCATTGTAGCTGATCACGTTGGACTGAACATCCGCCTTGGACATGGTGTCAAACAACTTCAATGCTTGTTGCCATTGTCCGCACTTCTCACAAGCACTGATGGCAGCACTGTAGCTGATCACGTTGGGCTGAAGTTTCACTTCGGGCATAGCCTCAAACAACTTCAGTGCTTGCTGCCATTGTTCGCCCCTGTCACAGGCACTGATTGCCGCACTGTAGCTGATCACGTCGGGCTGAACTTTCACCTTGGGCATGGACTCAAACAGCTTCAATGCTTCCGGCCACTGTCCGCCCTTCTCACAGGCACTGATGGCTGCATTGTAGCTGATCACATCGGGCTGAACTTTCACGATGGACATGGCCTCGAATACATTCAGTGCTTGCTGCCATTGCCCACCCTTCTCACAAGCACTGATGCCTGCATTGTAGCTGATGATGTTTGGTTGAACCATCAACTTCGGGATGACATCAAACAACTTCAATGCTTGCTGCCATTGCCCGCCCTTTTCACAGGCACTGATGGCAGAATTGTAACTAATCAAGTTGGGCTGAACTTTCACTTTGGGCATGGCCTCAAATAGCTTCAATGCTTCCGACCACCTTCCGCCCTTCTCACAGGCACTGATTGCCGCATTGTAGCTGATCACGTCAGGCAGAACTTTTACCTCAGGCATGGCCTCCAACAACTTCAGTGCTTGCTGCGTTTGCCCGCCCTTCTCACAAGCACTGATGGCTGCATTGTAGGTGATCATGTTGGGCTGAACATTCAAATTGGGCATGGCCTCGAACAAATTCAGTGCTTGCTGCCATTGCCCGCCCTTCTCACAAGCACTGATGGCTGCACTGCAGCTGATCACGTCAGGCTGAACTTTGGCCATGGGCATTGTGTCAAACAATTTCAATGCTTGCTGCCATTGCCCGCCCTTCTCACAAGCACTGATTGCGGCATTGTAGCTGATGACATTGGGTTGAACTTTCACATTGGGCATGGCCTCAAGTAACTTCAATGCTTCTGGCCAGTTTCCACCCTTCTCACACGCACTGATGGCTGCATTGTAGCTGATCGCATCTGGCTGAACTCTCTCCTCAGGCATAGCCTCAAACAACTTTATTGCTTGCTGCCATTGCCCGCCCTTCTCACAGGCACTAATTGCCGCATTATGGCTGATCACGTTTGGCTGAACTTTTGCCTTGGGCATGGCGTGAAACAACTTCAATGCTTGCGGCCATTGTCCGCACTTCTCACAGGCACTGATGGCAGCACTGTAGCTGATTACATCGGGCTGAACTTTCGTTTCCGGCATGGCCTCAAACAACTTCAATGCCTCTGGCCACTGTCCGCCCTTCTCACAGGCACTGATGGCCGCACTGTAGCTGATCACGTCAGGGTGAACTTTGGCAGTAGGCATGGCCTCAAATAGCTTCAATGCTTGCTGCCACTCGTTTGCTCTCGCACAGCTTGATATTCCGATGGTGTAATTTGACGCATTTAGCTCTATGCTACCATCTTCCTGGATTGCTTCCAAGGTAGCATACACTAGTCTCGCTGCTCCCTTTTGCTGGCACAGACCCCTCAAGACGGGCTGAAGGTTTGCCTTGGAGCGCCTCACTTGTAGCAAAATGGTTTCAAGACAGTCCTCAAAGTTTCCTTGGTCTGGTCGAGGCTGCAGCAGATTAAAAGACCCACGGACTCACGGGTGTTTGTTGATAAACTCGTCCTAAAGCCCAGTGGGTTTGGGACAAATAATGTATATAGACAGTTGATTATACTTATACTATTTATAATATATACTCTCCCTGGAACTAAAATGGAAGTGGTGAATGGCCCCTTGGAAGACTATATTGGATAACAAAAACATGAAAACATTGTCGAAGATGTACAACATTGCTAGCATATCTAGAGTCTTGCCCTTGTCACCGGATCAAAGCATGTTTTTGGAGTTGTAGCATGACATACCCTACAAGTCCAGTCTGACCCAGTAAAACCAGATTGTTTGATTGCTTGAATAGTGTTTTTTGTATGACCAACTCCAGTCAATTGAGGTTAAACTGACCTGTACTACGTGCGTGCACTGGAACTACCGACTCAGTTTTTTAACAAACATATAATTACGCTCCCTGCAACAATCATGGAAGGGGTCACAAAACACCACTATTCATGCGAAGGGGAAAAAACAAACACAAAAACAAACAAACAGGACACACAAAAACACACAAACAAAAAACATCTCAACGACCAAACGCAAAAACCATGCATTCAACGTGAGAAAGTCGTGTGCCCAGGTGTCGTGAACCGATCGCTTGGAGCTTCTGCACCACTTCCTCTGCTGCCTTCGGCGGAGCGTCTTCACGTCTACCGCAGCTTCGCCGCGCGGAGGGTGCACTCGACGCTTCGAGGCTTCGATGGCTTCCCCAACGGATCGTCCTGGATCGACGCAGGTCCCGACCGGCGACCCGGCGGAGACCGGTGGAGACCGGTGTGGTGAAGCGCTGCAGGTGATTTGTTGGTCTTCCGCTCTCACGATCGATGATGTGAAGACAAAGAAAGGAGGGGCGAAGAGCAGATTTGGGGAGGGCTGGCGCAGGGTCAGGAGGGCAATTGGTTGGCAGGGTCACCAATTTTTAATAATTCTGCTTTCATCTATAATATTTCTGGTTCGTTGCTGGGTTCCAGAAAACTGGCCGAACCGCCGGGGCCTCGACGAAACGAACTTCTGTGGACGGCACCAGGGGAGTCCTCCGTGGTTCGACGGCAACTGCACCGTCCAACACGACGCTCCATGTGAGGCAAAAGGTATCAAAAAGTACACGAAGTGACGAGCACATGGTTACGTGGATGGCATGCTCCCGATTTCGGAAGACGACAAAATCCTTTACAAACAGGGGGTGAACTCCACTTCCAGCAGAGGTTGAAGAACCCTATAGACTATCCTATATAGGTACCCCTGTAGGGTCCTATAAGGTCACTTAACCTCTGTAGGTTAACCATGTTTTCTGTGTTCTTCGGAGCGTAGGTCTTTTTCAGATTTCTGTCTTCTGTCGTTGGGTTTCTTGGGTGCTGGGGACACATGGATGTAATGTACTTCAGGCCAAGGGGGGGGGCGAAAGCTAGCGCTCCAGAATGGGAAAGTGGAGGGCAGCGAGGTAGGAAAAAACACGGCGCTCTTTTTGGAGGCAGGGGTGAAGAGTCCTTTATATGTGGCTCTTTGCCCGGATCCTCCTGCGAGAGAAGAGAGAGAAGAGAGACGGACAAACGAGAGACAGAGAGGAGAGAGAGAGAGAGAGAGGAGAGAGAGATGAGAGAGATGAGAAAGAGATGAGAGAGATGAGAGAGATGAGAGAGATGAGAGAGAGAGAGAGAGAGAGAGAGAGACAGTGAGACAGTGAGACAGTGAGACAGTGAGAGTGAGAGTGAGCGAGTGCGGCCGCAAGATACGCAACGCTAACCGCATGCCAAAGAGCGACGACAGGACGGAGTCGAACTTGCGAAGAGGGAGGAGGGAGGGAGGGAAGGTGGGAGGAAGACAAGGAGGAGGAGAGGGGAGGTGGGGCGGGGAGAGGGGAGAGGAGAGGAGGGGAGAGGGGCGGAGGGGAGGGGGGGGGGGGGGGGGGGGTCTTCGACCTGAAAAATCAGGGGTTAGGATTTGCACCCGGTCGAAAGAAACCTTGCTATCGCAAGAGTAACTCCAGCTAGCTTCGCTAGCTTTCGTGACATGTGTGCAATTGAAAAGAAACAAACATGCTATCGACTCCCACCCAAACACGACCTGTCTAGGACTGGAAGAGTTCCCTGCATGGGTCATCAATGGGGTAACTCGATCAATGCAAGTCTTCCATTCCCATGGATGGGGGCCATGTTAATTGATATAGCATGATATAGCAGAAAGTCCCACCTCTCTTTCAGAGCTTTAGGGTCCCTCCTCCCTTCTCGAACTCGTCGCCAACCCCTCCGCCGGATCTGCACGCGAAACAGCAGCACGAGGCCAGCCAAGCAGGCGGGCACCGACTGCAGAAGCGACACCGAGGGCATGGATTTGATGGCAAAGCAGCATGGATTTGATGGCTGGAGACACATACAACTGCAGATTCCTTGTCCAGGGCGGCAGCGCGGCGGAAAGATGGTCTGCCATGCTGTGTTCTCCATCTGTCGGCCACTCATCAGATCTCTCACCTCATCCTTGGCTCCAATCGCGTCGCTCTATACAGCTCTCCTTCTCAACCCCGGAACCCCAACCAAAACTCCTTCTCCAAGGGCAACGGTTCCTTTGCGGGTTCCTTCAGCGGTGGCCGTTTAGCTCGCTCGGTCGGACGGTGGATGCTTGGGCCGGTGCCGCGGTTCGACTGGGACTGGCCGTGAAACGAGACGAGGCCTGTGGTTGATTGACCTATATAGGGTTCATAGGGGGAGGACAATTCCAGTCCCATGCTCGGTTCCCAGACATGAAATTCCATCTATTCCCATCCCTAAGAATCCTTGGGCTCTCCATGGCAGGGGTCGGACCCGACCTCTTGGCAGGGGTCCGGCCCGAACCAAACCCTATCTGTTTGAGGGCCCGGATTCTTAGGGTTTCGTCCATTCCCCACGATCTGTTCCGACTTCCCCGCCCCGCCATGTTCTCCTCCGGATTCCGTCCAGCTTGGTGCTTCGGTCCGTGAAACAGTAGGCTTGCTTTTTGGGCATCCGACAAAAAGAGCAGAACAGCTAAGGTTCCATGAGAAGGAACTCCCAAACCTTCCATGGTATGGTAAGTGGTATGGTATATATAAGTTGTGTGTGTGTTTTTGTTTTTTACTTTTTCAGCTAGGGGTGAATGTAGGCAAACATGCCGGTCCCACGGGGTGTCTGGAAATTGAATTCTGCGTTCGCCCCGACACTCGGACTCTCCAGCAGACGAGAAGAGAGTTGACAGAACGAAGTCACAGAGCTCGCTCGGGGCACCTGTGGCTCGTCCCATCCAGTGACTGGATGTGACAAACTACCTCTTCCTCCATGGATAGCACCCTTGCCTCCGAACTGCTAAACAGTGTCAATCAATGACATGCACTGCTCGAGGCAGGGGTCAAAAAAAACATGTATTTGAGAAAAGGTTGACCACCGCCACCGATGAACAATGGCTTTACATAAATCTGGCAACAAGCGATACATGTCAACAAACATGTCCCTTCTGCGTATGGAATCGCATGGAAGAGTTGATACCAGATTTAGTTACATGTATTACATCGTGTTCAAATGACCCGGGTCCCATATTGTTCCCATATGTGTTGTTGGTTCCAGCTTCCCTTCTCATGACATTGATACCAGATTTAGTTGGTCCCATATGTGTGTGGGTGTTGTTTTGTAAAGGTCACTCTTCACCAGGCCGCAGGCTCCAAACATCGGTAGGGAGGTGAATGGGGACACCTGGGAGCCAGTGGACCACGTCTAGTTGTTGGCTGTTAGTACAGTGGTGTGGTGGTTACTTAGTGGTGACGCACTTCAATTCATCTAACAAAATCCGATTTTGACTACTGAAGTAGGCAGCGCTGCGCTGACCAGACTGGTGAAACTCACCATCCGGAGGGAAAACAGCGGATCAGCAAAGACCTAAAATCAGGAAGAAAGGCTTTGCAATGACTTGGCACTTTTCGGGACAAAGATTGTTCAAAAAGCAACATCTGTTGCGTCTGTTGCAGGTCAGGACAAACAAAGTATATCTTCACATGCGTTTGTTTCGTAGCTTTTTGTGAGGTGTAAACCAAAAACCTGCTCTCCTCTCTTAAACAAAGGAAACAGAGACGTCTGACGTCTGCATCGGGACGCCTCTCCTCGTCCCCGTGCCGTGGACACGCCCGCACGGCGAACCTCGCCGCCGCCTGGTTGACTGTGACCGGTCGACTACGACCCCGTTTTGCGCGACCACCCTGGGGTCAGGGTGTTTGGGATGGCGTGACCAGCAGACCTGCAAAAGCCGGTCACCCAGTAGACGGAGCAAACGGAGCAGACGGGTCGGGGGTGGCTTCACCTCCTCGGGTTTTGGAGGGACCGGGAATTAACACGGGCGCCCCGTTTGGGACCGACGGACGATTCCAGAGGAGGATCTGTCTGACGAGTTCCGTGACGCGGAGTGAAATGAAACCGTCGATGAACATCGTCGAAGGAAGTGGACTTCTACCAGGACCCTCCTGTCGGGGTGCCCTGTCTGGAAGCCTAGGCCGGTAGTGTGGGGTGGTCCGATTCCTTCTAGATGTACACCCTAGATGTACTTTGGTGTGGAATGGTGACGAACTTTGAAGTGCGTTGGAATCTCCTGAACACGTTCTAAAACATGGTCGAACTGGGCTTCCATATAGGGTACCTACATCAGGGTACTATGGATCTAAATGGTATAAATGACGCCACTATTCCAGTCCTGTTCGTCTGGTCTGGCATTGCTCATGGCATTGCGAGGACAGCCACGAGGACAGGCCCGCCATTCCAGTGCCACTGCTGTTCGTCCATGGGTGGCCTCATTGACTTTTGAACCATCCCATCGATGTGTTCCGATGGAAAAACGTTTGAGAACCGCGGTGACATCGAACGAAGTCCAACACGCAACATCGAACGAAGTGAAACACATCGAGCTGCTACCGTCAGTCTGTGTCGTGTCCTTCTTCATCCAAACCTGCCAAACTCTGGGTGGGCTGCATATAGGGATGACCCCTATAAAACCCTAAACCATAGCCCAACTACAGGGATTTAAATGGAACCATGCATTGGTTAGAAGCAGGAAAGAGCACGAGTCAGGACAACTCTTCCACAATAGTGCAACAACTGGGGCAAAAATGCTATCGCAATTAATGTGAAACCAAACAAACCTGACTGGGTTGCAGTTGTTGTTAGCTGTAGGCTGTTTTGCTCATTGGATGTATAGCTTCTTCGCCACGATTAATGAATTTCCAGACCATGAACTCTGCGACCATCCCCTTCCCGAAATTTTGAAGGTTCTGAGCTGCCATACGGAACTCACCATCTGTTCGGGGTTTCTCTGATCTTCAACGGAGACCACGGACACACGCCTTGCGAATCACTCGATAGTGATTCACACTAGATTCTGTGTCCAGGTCTATTCCAAGCACTCCTGGACCATCCATGCATTAAATAGTTACCTGCATTAGGGTCATACATGGGGTAAATGTATATAATATATGCATGTACGTTCGTTACGTTTGTTCTATATCCTCATCCAATAATCTAAACTATCAATCTAACTCGTCCCATGGACAGTCTGGACCTCCTTGCTTTCTCCATCTTCCCTCATCTCCCTCGGCCATCGAGACGGTCTCACCTGCCGGGTCCACCGCACTCCGGTGCCTCGGTGGGGTGTAGCTTCACCCGTCGCGTTGAAGGTCAAATGAACAGATTCCTCCAAAAAGCGGATATCGTTTTTTCCCGAACACATATGGTTAGGTGTGTTTTATTTTCTATGTTTTGACATGTTTTGACTCACTGCCATGTCCTCGATGAAACGCTATAGGGTTCCAGTCGTACCTCCGAAAAGAAGGTAAATATTGGGACCCTCCAATGGCACCCACCCCAGTCCCAACTTCTGAGAGAAGGTACGACTGGAGCTCTAGGGCAAGTAACTAAGTAACTGAAGTAACTGAGCAATCCCTTGCGTTTCCCCTTGGAACACATACACTTGGATCAAATTTCTGGTTGGCCAAAACTCACAAAAACAATTCAGTCGAGTGGTTTCAATATGGTTCAATCATCCCAATTGAAAGGATGAACCTTTTGAACACTATATAAATATGTATACCAGGACCTTCCAAGCCTGGTGGTTTTTGGACACCCCGAATCACCTCTAAGAGGCCATTTATAGACACCTCAAACGGAAGGTCCTGGTATATAATATCTGAAACCAGGGCTGGGCCGCAGCATCTCTGGCGCTTCCACCGGGGGGTCCTTTGACCTCATCGAGGTTTCTGGACCAGGCTAGCTAGGAGACGCTGCTAGGAGACGCCCGAGCTGTGAGGGCACTGAAAAGGGCACCATGATTTCATGATGGTTCATGGAATCTGGTTCGATCTTCTGCATCGCTTTCTTCCTGATGTCGAATTCTCCGTTGTGATCGCAAAGAAGGTGATACAGGAGGCTCAAGAGCATCAATGTGAGGCTGGAGGCTCAATGTCAGGACTCTTTTTGGAGTTTGCAGCATAAGTTCAATGATGTGAAAGATCAGTTCATCACAGGCCAAGGAACTTCAAGCCAATTCCTCTTGTACTACAGTACTACAGGCCTTTGCTTCAACCCTCAGCGGGTGTCGTGGGGCTGGTGGAAATGTTCCTTTTGAATTGGCCTACGGCGGGCCAAAAGAGATCCCAACAAAAAGACAAGAAAACCAGTAAACAATCACCAAAAATGAATCTCTTACATCTCAGCCACTTTGGTTGATTTCCATTTGCAAACACACCTGCGTTCCACAAAGCAACGGATCATGTCACACGTGATTCCAAGTCACACGTGATTCCGCTCGCTCTTCCGCTCCTCCTCCTGCCACGTGCGGATCCCGCGGCTGTTGAGCGACTGGACTTCCAGTCACCCAGTGATTGGACCCGATGCATTTCACCCGTGATGGTCTAGGCCGATGGACTGATGGATAGTCGCCTTTTCCTGACTGATTGGACTCTGGATGGTCTGGGCCGAGGAAGATGCGCCATACAGTTTCCTCATCCGTGGATGGTCTGGGTACTGTTGGGGTGGTTGAACAGGAATATTGGTATATACACATCCATGTATCCCAACATACAACAAATGGGACTGGAACATATATACCTGACCCTTGACCCTTGAAATCAACCACCCCAACTGATCGGCAAATACGCCCATACCAGTACGTTGGAACTGTCTGAGTATGTCCATCCCAGACCATCAATGGTCGGACTCGGACTGGAAAAAAGTTACATACATGGCTCCCCCCATGTCTGACCCATCCATGCGTATGTCATGTATGTAACGAATCCAGTCCCATGGATCACCTGGGCATGTATTGGTCATGTTGGTCAATCCATTGGGGTGGTTGATTGATTGATTTCAGCGGTGAATGGGGTGGTCGCCAGTCGCAAACAGGTCATGACACCGACTGTTAGGTTCCAACACCGACTATCCATGAATAGAGGAACCTATTGGGGATGGTCATATATACGGAACAAGGGGGGCTTCTCCCCAATAGATAAATGGTAAAAAAAAAGTTCTATTCCCTCCACATGAACAAATCAAGGGGTGAAAATGAGTGAATCAAAACTATATATTTGTAAAATTGCATGATGTTGTCAAATCCTCATATCGTGGGAGAAGAGCCAAAGC